ACTAGTTGGCGTCCATCTAACTAGCCCACGCGGCATTCATGTTGAACTTGTACAAATTACCCACCGGATAGCTGGTTTCCCCACAGATTGAGATCCACTAATGCTGTTAGCCTGCCCAGCTCCGGCGGGATCGGGCCTGCAAGGCAGAAGAGCAATCAAAATTTAGCGGGGGACTAAGAAAAGTTGATCCGGCTCCCATTTTTTTAAATGTTCGATCTCCGTAGATCTTGTCCCGCGCACTAGTTGGCGTCCACCCACTGCGTCGGCGGGTTCATGCATGCTGAGAACTCCAAAGAATATAAAAACGCGTATCGATCAGTTCAACTCACCGTCTAAGTTGTTGTTGTAGAGGCTGAGGACCTGGAGGGCGCCAAGATCTCCTAGCTGCGGCGGAATGTGGCCTGTAGATGAACCAGTGTAAAGCAGGGTATTTAGCGGGGTACAGCACAATATCCAAGTTGGCGGGACAAGATCTACGAAGATCAGCCGCCTTGAATAATGAGGTGGGAATTTTTATGTTTTTTTATCGCTTGCGCACTCCTGCTTACAGGCGCCATCCCGCCGGAGTTCGGGAACCTCGCAGCGCTGCAACAGCTCGACCTTGGCCGCAACCGGCTAATCGGTGAGTCATGGAGCGCAATATGATTTGCTAAGAGTTTCGGGATGAGTCCGACCAACTAGTTGGCGTCTCTCCGACTGCGGAAGCGGTGTTCATGCATGATTCTACACAAGTTCAGTGCTCACCTGAAAGCTGGTTGTTGCTCAGATAAAGCTGTTGTAGCGCTGTAAGCTTCCCTAGCTCCTTCGGTATCGTTCCTGTGTGGTTAACAACCGTATGGTGAGATGAGAACTTAGTGAGGAAAAATGAAAAAAACTTTCGGGGACGCCAACTACTAAGCGGGATTCATGCATGTTCCCAAAGAAGGAAACAATGTGTATTCCCCAGTGCTCACCTGAAAGCTGGTTGTTGTGTAGAGTAAACTCCTGTAGCGCAGTGAGCTTCCCTAGCTCCTCCGGTATCCTTCCTGTGAGGTGAAGAACCTTGTGATGAAATACGAACGTAGTGAGAAATAACAGATATCCCGCGAGTTCTGAAATTTCGTACTTACCCACTAGTGGGCGTCCACAAGTTCATTCTGAAATTTGTACAGTGTCTCACCAGATAGTTGATTCCGGGAGAGGTGGAGCTCCTTCAGTGCTGCGAGCTTTCCCAGCTCCGGAGGGATGGGGCCTGTAAGCAGGAGGGCGATACAAATCAAGCGCGACAAAAAATATAAGACTATTTACCCGCGACTCTAATTTCAAGTGGACGCCCACTAGTTGGCAGGGTTCATGCATGTTCAGAACTCGAAATAAAATCGTTTCGATCTGTTCTAACTCACCATCTAGCGCGTTGTTGGCGAGGCCGAGGTACACAAGGGCGCCAAGCTGTCCGAGCTGCGGCGGAATGTGGCCTGTAGATGAACGGGTCAACGACATGGGCATTTGGAAGAGTACAGAAAAAGTTATCCCGCGAGTTGTAAAATTTCGTGGACGCCAACTAGTTGGCGGGACAAGATCTACGGAGATCGACAAAAGCCGGCGGGCAATTTCTTATTATTCCCCCGTGTTCGGATAAATCTTCTGCGCACAGGCTCCATCCCAAAGGAGCTGGGAGATCTCCGAGAGCTGCGGGAGCTGTGGCTCGGCAGCAACCGGCTCACAGGTAACCTTTTAATTTTCAGTGGTTTTAAATATTTTTAGAATATCGATCTCCGTAGATTTTGTCCGGCGGGACCGATGTTCTAGAAGGCGGGGGGTTATATTTTTTGTCCCGCTCAGCTACTCCGTTCCACCCGTCCTCTGCAGGGTCCATCCCATCGGAGCTGGGGCACCTTTCAGCACTGAAGGAGCTCTCCCTTTCCGCGAATCAACTATCTGGTGAGACATCAATTTCCATCCCATCGGAGCTGGGGCACCTTTCAGCACTGAAGGAGCTCTCCCTTTCCGCGAATCAACTATCTGGTGAGACATCAATTGAAATTTCAGAAAAAACTCGTTTAGAGGCGTGAGTGGACGCCTACTTGTTGGCGTCTTCTTGAAGATAGAGAGAGGGTCAATTTTTCTTGGCGTCTACGCGTAATCGGTTTTCATGCACGATTTCAAGATTCAGCACAGGTCCAGTACTCGCCTGAAAGCTGGTTGTTGAACAGAGAAAGCCTTTGCAGCGCAGTTAGCTTCCCTAGCTCCTTCGGTATCGTTCCTGTATGATTCACAGCAGCGTGGTGGGATGAAAATTTAGCGAGGAAAATTAAAAAGTTAACCCGCCTCTATTTTCAAATGGACGCCAACAAAGTTAACCCGGGGTAGTTGGCGTCCACGCGTACGTGAGTAGGCGTTTTCTAGAAAGCGGGGAGTTATTTTTTCTTGTCCCGCTCAGCTATTCTGTTCCCCCCGTCCCCTTCCAGGCCACATCCCACCGGAACTAGGGGCTCTCAGCGAGCTGCAAGACCTGTGGCTCGACAGCAACAAGCTTACAGGTACCAATTGCGTTTTTGAGATGTTTAAGTTTGTCGTGTGATGTGCTGTGGATAATAAATCCCGTATATGTAGTTGGATGGACGCCAACTAAGTGGGCGGGACCGATGTTCTAGAAGGCGGGGGGTTATATTTTTTGTCCCGCTCAGCTACTCCGTTCCACCCGTCCTCTGCAGGGTCCATCCCATCGGAGCTGGGGCACCTTTCAGCACTGAAGGAGCTCTCCCTTTCCGCGAATCAACTATCTGGTGAGACATCAATTGAAATTTCAGAAAAAACTCGTTTAGAGGCGTGAGTGGACGCCTACTAGTTGGCGTCCACGAAATGTCACAACTCGCGGGATAACTTTTTCTGTACCCTGCCAAAACTACCCTGCGTTGACTCATTCATCTGCAGGCCCCATTCCGCCGCAACTCGGACAGCTTGGCGCCCTCCAGTACCTCATCCTCGACGGCAACAAGCTAGATGGTGAGTTTGGACTGATTGAAACGATTATATTTCGAGTTCTGATCATGCATGAATCCCTCCAACTAGTTGGCGTCTCTCCGACTGCGGAAGCGGTGTTCATGCATGATTCTACACAAGTCCAGTGCTCACCTGTAAGCTGGTTGTTGTTCAGATAAAGCTGTTGTAGCGCTGTAAGCTTCCCTAGCTCCTTCGGTATCGTTCCTGTGTGGTTAACAACCGTATGGTGAGATGAGAACTTAGTGAGGAAAAATGAAAAAAACTTTCGTGGACGCCATCGGCGGGATTCAATCTGAAACTTGCGTAAATGTCTCTCACCCGTAAGTTGGTTGCTCATAGGGCTGAGCAACTGCAGTACTGCTAGCTTACCGAGCTCTGGCGGGATGGATCCTGCAAGCACACAAGAGCATGCAAAATAGCGGGAGTGTTTTACTTCTTGCTTTTCCCGGCTGTCTTTTATGAAATCAAACGATCTCCCTAGATCCTGTCCCGCCAACGTGTGCGATGTCATATTCCTTCGACAAAAATGAACGAAATCAGCCGTGTGCCGACATCAGAGATGCCTCAGCCATTTGAAGCAATTTTGACTACTTGAGGATACCAACATTTCCCCAGATTGCGACGTACTGCTTCTGAGTTGTCAGCTTGTCTTTTACAACACTTCTGAATTGTCATCTTGTCTTTATACAAAACGATAAGTTCCAATCAAGCATATAGAAAGAAATAATATGGTGTGTTGTACATCCAACAGCCCCCCCCCCAATCAAGCCCCTGCACCATACCACAGGTTTACACATGTTGCGGATGGGGAGTTTTTGTTTTCAATGTGGACGCTCAGTTGAGAGACAGCACCTATTTTGTCCCGTTGACCGGCCACGTTCGAATCGAAAGTGAATACTTTTGCATTGTTTTTTCTAAAGCTGCCTTTGGATCATCCACGGCTCAGCTGCCGATTGGGTTATCTCCTGAAGAAGTAGGTGTTCAGAAGGTTTCACACGCGTTGATCCTGTTTCGTCCTTTCCTCTGTGTCATATTTTCCCGTCGAACTGGTCCTTTTCGCGACCTCCAGTGTTCCCTAGAGCGGTGGCTGAGAGATTTGCAGTTCAAAATGTCAGCATTTATACTGCAGAAAACCCTTGGACGGAGCCACCAGCGGATGTGCTGGAGCTGGGTATGGCCTATGCGGCCAGGTTCCTCAAGGACCTGAACGACTTCGGAAGGACATCGTCCAATCGGCTGAAGGTCGTGCTGGTTGGATTGGGCAACGCAGGCAAGACGAGTGTTGCCGTTCGGTTAGAAGGTCTTGCGTCGTCGAAGCCCCTGCCGACTGCCGAGGAGCGCACGGTGGGAGTGGAAATACGGGATATACAGCTAGCACCTGGCCCAGCCAATGGAGGAAGCCGGGGGAACGCCGAACTAGACGTGAAGCTCTGGGATTTCGCTGGGCAGAGAGCATACTATGACACGCACCAGGTGCGAGATGGGGTTTGGTCAGAATGATGCTTCCAGCGCCAGTGGTGAGGGTTCGCTGAAACAAGATTAGGCATGTAGCCGCTGTAAAGATCATGTCTTGGCTTGTAAATATTGTCTCGGCAAGTTATCAGCGTTCGATGGTGTCTTCACCCTGTTGAGACGTATCGGTAGTTGTGTTCTTGCGAAGAGAATGCTTGGTGATGGTTTGCCACCTTGTCCCGCTTGCTGCCCAGATGTTCCTCACTCCGGGCGCTCTCTTCGTCCTGGTTGTGGATATATTCGCGTACTCGGAGGACGGGCATTCTCGGGAGGATGCTCTCGAGCAGTGGCTTGACATCCTTCAAGCCCGAGTCCCCGGTTCTGTGGTCTTGCTCGTCGGAACACACAGCGACATGTTTGACAGTCCAGCCGACTGCAGCAAGCGGGTGAAGCGCTTCCTGGAAGGCGAGTTGTTGTCGAGCATTGTGTTGAATCTCGCTCGATGACAATTTTGGTTTGTTGTTCACAGGTCGTCGCTGGTGCATCCGGCTTCCTTTTTATTCATTTTCGCATAACTACCCCCCCCCCGCATCATGGTCGCCGCCTGATCGAAACTACGGAGTCTTGACTCATGAGTCCATCCTTGTACATTGGCGCAAACTCCTGCTCACTTATTTTTTGTGGCACATATGTTCATGTAGATCGCCATGTGTCGTCTGCCCCAAGCCGGAAATTAATTATTTTATTGAATTTGTGTGGATTATAATTAAGTTCGACGCTGCGTGCAACTGATGTAGCCGTGGTTGGCGAGTGAGAGGACTCCCAAACATGATCCTCCGCACGGGTCAGGTCACACAGCAGCCGGGCTGCACTGGTTTCTCTTATGGTACCCGGAACCAGGGGGTTCTGTCTTCCATATTTCAAGACGTTATTTCACAAGATATGACGAAGTCCACGTGGTCTAGGGGACATCTTTCTGTCCTCTAGCTTGCCCGACTTGAGGTCGATTCCCCGTGTAAGCAATTTTCGTTCCTATTACCGTGCGTACGAAAAAAGTGGTGTCCACGGGCACCCCGAGTTAACTACCTTCGCCGCCGTGTATTCCCTCACTCAAACCAAAAAATAAATAAATATGTAAAAAAACACACACATTTCTCGTTATTCCTTCCTACAGACCAAAAAACATACTCCGTATCAATATATAAACACACATTCACGTATATATTTCCACCAACACCGAGCCAAGGTAAATGGTCGCTGGAGCCCCATTTCTAATTCTGCTCGATTTCACATCTGCTCGAATTGTAGATACGCCAAATGTTGAGAAGGACAGCATTCTGCGACCTTGTGCTGTAAATTTGTTTGCCGCACTCCAATATGTACAATGTGCTTGTTTTCGCACCCGACAGATACGAAGGACATAATGGACCGGGTTGGCCGCGAGTGCAAGTCAGCCAGAGAACGGGCCAGGCAAGAGTCGGCGGGAAACAGTGACCGGGAGTACGCGGGCGTCCAGGACAGCCGCCGCTACCAACCTCTTCGCATCGTGGTGGTGGACGAGCTGCTTGCCCTGAACCTGACTCCCTCCGGAGGAGTAACTACCGCGCAGCTCCAGGAGCATTTTGAGGGAGTTGCCTACGGCGTTCATGATGGTTACTCATTCCCTTCGGTGAATAGCGAGGTGCCCGAGCCGCACTTGCTCGCTGTCGCAACGCTGGAGGCGGTTCGTCGTGGTGCGACCTTACGCGGTTCGGGCGGCGATCCAGCAGAGGTAGTGCGCAGGCTCGACGGGGAGAAGCTTGATGAAGGCCAACCATTCATTCTGTTCCCAGAGGCCCTGTCTCTTTTTCTCGAGGTTGCAGGCGAGAAATCCTTGTTTGGTGGGAATGCGACCGAGGGAGAACAGGCTTTTCTGGCGGCCATCACGTTGCACGAACGACAGGGTGCGATTCTCGTGACTCGTGCCGACGGTGGCGGAGAAAAGGAGGACATGAAACCAGCATCTGAACAGCACCTCGTCATCCACGTGAACCCGGCCTGGTTTGCTGATTTGATTCGCCGTATCGTTGACGTTCGGCTGCTCGACCCGGCGCAGCAGGAAAAGCTTGCTGAAGTGATCAAGAGACAGTCACCCGCCTCTGTAGCAGAACTGTCGAAACAGCACGGCAGGTTCTTTTTGGCGGGGGAGGTGAGCAAGCGCTACATGAAGTTCCTCTGGAAAGAACGAGACTTGGAGTTAGGTCCTGCAAGCCCAAGCCTAGCGGCGCCGCCTTTCGAAATGTCGGAAGAAACCATCACGACAATGGTGGAAAGTTTACTTGCCGTTCGGTTCATGTTTCGAGTGCGACACAACAAGGACCACTACATCGTCCCAAGCTGCCTTCCTGACCACGTCGGATGCACTGTGGATGCCAAGAAACTGTTGGGGTTAGATGTAGGCGGTGCGATTTTTTCCAGAAAGCTGCAACTTGGCGGGGAGCAACCCGTACCCCCCGGGCTTATCCCGAGGTTGCTCGCTTGGTGTAGCCAGGGAGACGCGCGCATCACAACGTGCTGGAAGCGAGGAGTTTGTTTCGCCTTCAACAGGAAACACTTGGTATTGCTCTATGAGCATCGAAAAGAAGCTGGCAGGTCGGTGATTGAGTGCCACGCAATGGGAAGTGCGCACAACGAGAAGGCAGGGGGGACGTTGGACGATGTGGTCGCAGAGCTTCGCCGGCTTGTTGGTGATCCCAAGTACGGATTCCCGGGCATCTGGCTATTTTTCGACGGGGGGGTGGAGCATCAAAAGGCCACCTCCGCTGGCGAACTCGATAAATTGTTATCGCGCTTCGCGGGCGAGTTGAAGGATCACATGAACGTCAATTTCAAGGAGCTCGCACGGAAGTCGAACGTCATTGCGGGTAAGGGTAGCGTCAATTTCATAGCACGGCGATGGTGTGATTCTCGTGGTTTGCATAAAGGCAAGTACACCTTTGTTCACCGAACTCTATCGACCAAGATGTTGGGCTCTATCGGACCGGGAACTGTGTGACATTTTTGTTCATCAGGCGTCCCTTCAGCAATGAGATGTTTCGGCTCTAGTTCTCTTGAACCGAGTGGCCCTGCTGCTTTTTTGAGTAAATAGGGTTCCGCCCACTCAAGCCGAGCTGCTAGTGTTTTTCTTCCGAAAATTATTGAGGCCATAACCAGCATGGTGGAAACTGGCAAATCGTGTGAATGTATTTACCTTATTCACAACTTCGGACTTGCCCCACTGCACAGGGGGCGTTGAAAGGCACTTGCGTAAGGGACAGGAGGAGATGGCAACTTCGTTCAACCATCAGATTCAACAACTCGGCCAGGACATGTCCCGTAAACTCGATTGCATCGCCGCTGTCACGAGCAAGTGCCTGCTGGTGTCTGTCGAGAAGGACATCCCATGCCCCCGCCTCATCATGGTATTGGAGGATGTGTCGCCGGGGTCAGCGCTCTCACGTCTTTCTCATTTTCGCCGGGACATGGTCGACAAGTTACTTCGCAGGGAAGGGGAAGGGCCGGCGCCTCAGTGCTATCGTATTCGTTTCTTGTGTGCATACGACTTGACAGCGGGCACCTGCGGAAAGGATGGCCTCGGGTATAAGGTCGAGATCCAGGGCTGGCAAGAGTGGCTGAAAGCGTGCTTGCCGGTTATCAAGGTACGGAGTAAGTTTTTAGTAGCAGGTGGTCACACACCGAACTAGGTTTAACGTCAACGACGTGCACAAACATGTCGCTGGATGGAGAATACATATTATGTATCGTAAGTCGAATTCCAGCTTGATCACACGGATGCCTTGTTTTTCCGGCGGATATATCATTCCACTCATGAATCTTGATTGCACCTGACAGGTGTCTCTCTGGCTCCTTCGCGTGGGCATCTCTGTCGTTACTCGCGCGGATGTCTTGCCGGTAGACGGTGTGATAGAAACTCTCGAGGAGGTTGCTGGGGAGGAGGCAGCCGGAATACTCGGGGAGATCGACCTCGAAGGCCGACGCTCCAGCGGCCAGGATCTTGTAGACAAGGTCAACGCCCAGGAGCAGGTTTTCGGCACGGCTTACGCCGAGTTAGCCAAGTGGGTGCAGCAGAGGGAGGACAAGATTGGCGACGGGGGGGACGATGCACAAACTGCAGGCAATACCGTTGGCGGGGGAGCGGCAGATGGGGGGCGGGGCTGCAGGTGGTTGTGCAGTTGGTGGCGTCGCTCTCACAACAATACACCCGCACAGCCACCGGACGCCGGCTGTGCGATGTCCGGGAATGTCACTGGCGGAGTTCCAGCCGCTCCTGTAGCACCCGTGTCCACCGTCGCTCCGGCCGGTAAACGTAGCTTCGAAAGTGATATGGAACTCGCTTCTCGTCAGAGAGGCACCGAAGCGCCAGAATGGGCGTGGGTGCGCCGTGTCAACAAAGACAAGTGGCAGAAGTTTCAGAGTCCCAGCCCCGCCCGCCCTTAGTCAAAGGGTGCACGCATGATGTAGATTTAACCAAGTGGAGGGGGTGATGGTGTAAGCGTGTGGTTTCGGTGGATTAAATCAAGTCACGACTGCGCCCGATAGGGTCCGTCTCTCGACACGCAACCGTAGTATGTAGATGGAGGTCACCCGACCGCTTTAGATTCATACGAAAGAAAGGAAGGGTAGCTGTCATGGCCAGGGAGGTAAACACAAGTGCATCTTGTATCAGTATGCGTGTCTGCTGGAATTCGCTCTTGATCTTTCGGGTCACCCAACCACGTCTTTTTGCACGGTTGAAAAGAGTAATTTACAATTCACGTACACATGCATATGTATGTTGAGCGACGCCCCCTTAGATATAAGGGGGCGGGGGGGCAATCGTTACAGATGGCGCCACCACTTAGGAACCTTTTTTGCGCCGTCGAGGCTTTTGGCCGCCCAAACCCCAGGACGTGCGCTAATTTGCCAAGTGCTTATTTCGGGCAGAGATTTTTTTGGTTTGGTTTATTTTGCGGCTAAAAAAAGTCGGCTACAAGAAATAAGTTCTAATCGTAAAGCCCACGAAAGCGACGCCCACGAGCTCGCGGCGGTGCCTCCGCATGTGCCAGTCATCGCTGTGCATCGAAGGTTTGAACATATCATTGCCCGCGAGAGCACGAGCAACAGGTAGACGAGGAGCCCCACATTAATCCTGCTGTCTGCTGTCTTTGGCGCCAGGCGGGACTCAAAAACCAAGGTCTCGGTCCACGTGTTGGGTGCGGGGGGGACGATAAGAAACAGGAGGCTGGCGACCCCATTTTCGCAGGACTAAACAACGCGTGGAGCGGGAAGGATCTACCCGGTATTTGCTCTGGGTAGCTGGGTAGTCGGCTGCTGCTGCTCGGTGGTTGGTGTTTGTTTTGTCCATGCTCAAGCCGACCGTGTTTTTGATCTATACTCTCTGCCAACACAAGTATAGTCACAGATAATCTCGTACGGAATTACGTATGTCCTGCAGCACATACGAACTTGGACAGGTTCGTGTTTCGAGAGCGCGCATCACTTCTATGCACTTGCCCTTTTCGTACGTGATACACCACACGCAGGGTACAGGCGACGCAGGGGGAATACACTCTGTCGGAGTTGTTTCGGTTGTAAGATCTTGTCCGCGTATTCACCGCCGACACAGAGCGTATTAGCCGATTGACATATCGGTTTGCCCCCCGGCAAACTCCTCCTCGCTACTGCGTACAAGTGACAACCTGAGAAAGAAAAAGGGTATGACGGCGTCGTTGTCCAGAGAGGCTATAAATTCGGACGTGCATGTGGACGACCTAAAAGGCCTGCTTGAGTGGAAAGGGAAGGAGATGACCGATGCGCAAATCGTTCACAGGATCGAAGCATTTATCCGCGAAAAAATGGGAAGCAACTACGCCAGCGTGGGGAAAACAGGATATGGTTGCAGTCAATCCGATCCGCAAGTCCTCCGGTCAGAATATGATGGAGAAACTCTCCAGAGCTGGCAGGGTCGAGATTGCTGCACAGACAAAAACATACCGGCTGGAAAAGCTATGGATTCGCGTACAGGGTACAGGGTCGTGCTTCTGTGGCAAACGAGGGGAGCGTCACGAGTCAAACACCATGTAAAGCCCCTCGAAAACCCCGATCCAGGCTCTAACTAATCTTTCAACAATAGAAAAAATATCAGCCCCATGTGCTTCCCTCGATCCAGGCCTTAATGAATATGGCAAGCCTTACACAAAAATAAGAATTAAGAATGTGTCCAGCCGCCCGTGTAGTACACCCCGTTCAAAAAGCCAGGCCCTAATGAATGTGGTCAGCCCTTAAAGTACCACAAAAAAAATGCAGTCACCCGTGTATATACACCCCCTGAAAAAAAACGAAACATGCCCTAATTAACGTGTCAAGCTGAATACTAAGAATAACAATGTGTTTCGCGCCCGTGTACACCAAATCCGTTCAACCCCCCACACGCAGGCCGGCCGTAAGCCCCATAAAAAAATAGCCAGCCGCTCGTGCTTCCCCGCTGCAGTATATGATGCTGGCGTTCAGGCGCAGTTGACACCAAGGTCTCGTGCCACTCTCGTCCTTGTTCTCGCGGGGAAGGGGGACGCAAAACAACCCTCTTCCTCCGCACGAACGGGTGAAGAAAGCCCGGCCTGGCCATATCTGCGGCGGGAAATATTGGGGGCGGTGGGGTATTACGATTGATATTTGTGCAATTGCATATTGAAAAAATACACACCTTCAAAAGTCCGGGGGTAGACTGCGTTTCCGACTGCTTATCCGGGAGCGCGGAGCGAGGCCAGCAGCCTGTAGAAGCTACAAAACAAACAAAAACACACCTTCAAAAGACCTCAGGTAGAGCACGCTTCTGGCCGCGGGCCTCCGCGGGAGCCTCTCTTCCATGCTGCCCGCCGCCCACCCCCTCCTCGGCTTGGGCTTGACCGACCCCAACCTCGCCCCCTCCGACGTAGGCTGGGTCACCACCGGTGGCCTCCTCCTCAATTTCCACAGAGCCTCCTCCGGTCCTGGCCCCACCTGCAATGAGATATCGCAAAAATACACACCGTCAAAGGTCTGCGTTTCCGACCGCTTATCCGGGAGCGGGGAGCGAAGCCAGACTACTTCAGCACACACCAAACACACCTTCAAAAGCCCTCATGTAGAGCACGCTTCTGACCACGGGCCTCCGCGGGTGCCTCTCCTCCATGCTGCCCGCCGCCCGCCCCCTCCTCGGCTTGGGCATGACCGGCTCCGCCCTCGTCCTCTCCGGCGGCGGCCGAGGCTCCACCGGCGGGCTCATCCTCCTCGATTTTCACAGAGCCTCTCCCGCCTTCGGTCGCAGTTTGAACAGGGAGGAAGAAAGATTTGGGGAGTGTGTCAACGAGCTGTGGGTGTCAAAGGAAAAAACTACATCTCTCTCTCTCAAATGGTGTTTGCCATTCACGCACGCACCTGTGTCTTGCATTTCTTGCAGCGTCGTCTGCAGAAAACGCTCTTGCTCCGCCTGCTGCTCTTGCTGCAGCTGTTTCTCCAGATGACGCTGCTGGTGTTGCTACTGCACCTCTCTTTTCTGTAGATAGAGCAGCTTCTGGTCCCGTTGCTCTAGACCGGGCTGGTGCTGTAGCTGGTACCGCTCTTCCCTCTGCTGGCACTGCTGCTGGCGCTGCTCTTCTTGTGCAACATCCAGCTGCTGCTGCTGCTGCTGCTGCTGCAGAAAAAGCTGGCGCAGCTCCGCAAAAACCATGTCGGCGGGGGTGGCGGGGGCGGCGGGAGCTGCGGTTGCGTCGGCGGCGGTGGTGTTCTCTTTCTCCTTTTGCCCCACGTGGGGTTCATCGCCCGCGTCAACCTAAACAGAAGGGAGCGAGAAGGCATGTGTTCAAAAGCACTTTCAGTGGGAGAAACGGCTATTGCTTCTTCTCTTGAGCCTCGTTGATCGATCAGAGGAGAGACCGTGAGTAAGCAAAAAAGCAGCAGCGGCAGCAGCAGCGGCGGCGGCGGCGGCGGCGGCGGCGGCGGCGGCGGCGGCGGAGCGGCGGCAGCAAACTACTGACGTCGATCCTTCTCATTTTATTTTCTTCGTGTGTTTCGACTAGAGGCTACGCGTTCGATGTGTTGCCACAGATGACGCTTGCTGCAAAACGCGAAACTTGGCTGGATCCGCGCATGAACCTCATACTAGCAAAGCCGGTGACATTAACTGCCACATGAAAGGAAAGTAGGCAACGCTGCTGTTGTTGTCATGCGGACCAAAAACAAAAAGATTGTTCTCACCTCTTCTTGCTGCTGCATACATTCGGCACTACTGTCGGCAGAAAGGGAGCTTTGGCCACCGCTTCCGGTTGTCTCAGTGTGCCGCTCTTGTTTGCGTCGCACACTACTCTTTCTTGTCCTTGCCACGGTGTAATGTGAATTTCGGGAAAATGAGTGGGGCTCCGCAATTTATATTTGCGTACCTCCAAAAACAATCTACGATACCCCGATCTTCACCACCGGTGCCCACACACCCACTCTTCAATCCTCTGCCCACCCGCATCACGCAACAGCACAAGATCCTCCCACAACTACCCAGCTGAGCCGGATTGTTCGCCGGGGGGCACCTTACGCACAGGTGGGGAGAGTAGTGTTGGATCTTCTGTCTCTCTCTCGCTTCTCCTATCACACGCCTCGTGTGTTCGACCTAAATCTCGCACGCCTTCTCCTCCTGCAGTCTTCATAGTAATAGCTTCGGGAGTAGGGCTACGTGTGTACAGCCTGGAGATCCATGGCCTGGTCTCGTTTGGGTGTGATGTGCTGGTTGAATAGAACACACGTCGCGGACAGAAAACAAAGCCGGCTCACATCTACTGCTGGCTGTACACCTACCTCTCTGGTGTGTTTGTTCACTCGAAGTGTTGTAGCAATGTTCGCTGGGNCAACTACCCAGCTGAGCCGGATTGTTCGCCGGGGGGCACCTTACGCACAGGTGGGGAGAGTAGCGTTGGATCTTCTGTCTCTCTCTCGCTTCTCCTATCACACGCCTCGTCTGTTCGACCTAAATCTCGCACGCCTTCTCCTGCAGTCTTCATAGCTTCGGGAGTAGGGCTACGTGTGTACAGCCTGGAGATCCATGCCCTGGTCTCGTTTGGGTGTGATGTGCTGGTTGAATAGAACACACGTCGCGGACAGAAAACAAAGCCGGCTCACATCTACTGCTGGCTGTCCACCTACCTGCTGCAAGGCCCCCTCTTTGGTGTGTTCACTCGTGTTGTAGCAATGTTCGCTGGGGGCCACCTTGCGCACAGGTGGGGAGAGTAGCATTCGATCTTCTCTCTCTCTCTCTTTCTCTCTCTCCTCCCACACGCCTCATGCCTCGACCTAAATCGCGAACGCCTTCTCCTAAGTCTACATAGGGAGTAGGGCTACTNCACCTTGCGCACAGGTGGGGAGAGTAGCATTCGATCTTCTCTCTCTCTCTCTTTCTCTCTCTCCTCCCACACGCCTCATGCCTCGACCTAAATCGCGAACGCCTTCTCCTAAGTCTACATAGGGAGTAGGGCTACTTGTGGACAGCCTGGCGATCCACAGCCTGGCCGCGTTTGGGTGTGATGCGATGGTCGAATAGAACACACGTTGCGACAGAAAACAAAGCCTTAACGGCTCACATCTACTGCCCCCTCTTTGGTGTGTTTGCTCGAAGTGCTGCAGCAGTTTATGGTTTCGCGTGTTCAACGAAGCTATCCTTCCCACACACGAGGTTATAAGCTTTGAAAACGGGGTATTTTATGGGCGAAGATCGGACGGGTAAAATATTCTTCCTTCAATATCCTGGTATCCATACACGGAGTATTTTTTTATCCGCTCTCTGCGGACCGCGCCACTGCTTCCATGAACACCACCCCCGCTCGCTAACAACCCACGGTCTCCTCCCTCTCTTCACTCGGCAGGATGGATCGTCATCTCGAGAAGATTGGTCAAGCTCCGTGCAACGACGATACTGGTGTTTGTAGATCTTTTTTCACACCTGTGAAATGTGGTATGCCTTGCGTTCTGGGTATCCTCTCGAAAAAAAGAAGTTCGTCTCTTTCTCCTCTGTCTACCTCGGAAAGGGCGGGGACTAATTCGGTGCCAAGCAATCTCCGGTTTGCGATGCGTACTCGATGTCCGTTCCTTGAAGACTTGCTTTATTTTTGAGATGGTGTTGGTAGGNGTTGATTTATGTACTTTGAAAAGATCTCCGTCTGTAGTGGTGGTGATTTTCTCCATCATCCGCATGAAAGCGCTTGTTTTGTTGTTTTGTGCTCTCTGTGGAGGTTCCGGGACCACCCTTGGGGGAAGACTGGGCTAGCATGGCGTGCTTGTCTTGTTGTTTTGTTGTTTTTGGCACTCTGTGTATGAACCACCCTTGGCGAAGGACTGGGCTAGCATGGCGTGCTTGTTTTGTTGTTTTTGCACTCTGTATGAACCACCCTTGGTGGAGGACTGGGCTAGCATGGCGTGCTTGTTTTGTTGTTTTTGCTTGTCTCCGATGTGCCTTTTTTTGCCGTGTCCCCTTTTGTGTTTCTTTCCTGCACGTTTCGTGCGTGTATCTCCCCTACCTCTCCTACCACCGAGTCCCGCTGCGGACTTCGAACTGCTGGTTCGTGGTCTTCCACATTTAGACAGTTTGGCACGACGACGACGTACGAAAAAACAGTAGATGGCGGCGGCCGCGCGCATCTGACCCACAACCTTTCGCGCGGGCGTAGAACCTTGAAACAGAGGTTTCCGCGTACATGTTTGGAAGCCATCGTCGTCGTTGTCACAAGCCGGGCGGGACCTCCTCTACGCGCGCCTTAGATGACGGCCGCGTGCATCTGACCCACAATACAGCCCAAGTTTTTTTTTTTTAGCGCGCGCCTCCGACCCTGAAACAGAGGTTCTCAAGCCGGGACCTCCTATACGCGCGCCGAAGCGACCACATCAACCAATGAGCCTATGTGCTCTACGAAAATGGAAGTGGTGCGCTATGTTTCCCAACACACTCATCACTCGCCGCCATCGCTTTACATTAGTCAGCAGTTTTCACAAAAGCAACATGCAGCCCACGTGTGTCACGCGGGACGTGTGGCGCGGGCGCGGGTGGCTGCGGTCTTCGCTATGTTGGGCATGTGAAAAAAACAAAAAACAAAAAACATCGTGGCCACCACCGCTTCCGACCGGACATCGTGGCGAGGCACCCGCCTTCGTCTTGCCAAAAACACAGGGGTCGTTGCTGGAGGGGTGTTTTTACCTGAACCATGGGCATCATCAGCGGTGCGTGGTGCATTGAATCCAACCCCAATAGTGACGGCATCACCTTACTGTTTTTCTATTATTTTTTCACAACCGTCTCCCTCAAGCTCTGTACGAAGCCACCAAAATACTTTCGGTAGCTGGCAACGATACCCCGAGACAGCCCAACCGTGTCATCCCGCTCCCCGATTACACGCAAAAATGACATACCAACAACGGAAACATCGATACACCGCAGAGAAATATAGCTAGTGTTCCCACGAGCGTGAACGTTGTACGACTCTGACATTATGGAAAATCGATGCTCTGAACAGAGAAACCTGTCTGTTTAGTGGTCTTCACAGAAAGCGTACGACCATGCGAAACACTCCACCACGCAGCCCAAATAGTTCCGGTATCAAAACAACGACCAGGTCCACGCCCACGTCATGCCCACCCTCGACGACCACCCCGGCCTGATGTGTGCCAGACGCGTTTCCTCATCACCGACATCGCAATCAGCTGTCCCCGCCTTCGGATTGCGCGACCGAAGCATGACAAGCCCCACCTGATGCGACCGCCTTCCATGGTTACATGTAACCTAGGGTAAATTTACACAAAAATCAAAGAAAAAATAGTAGATCCCCAGAAAAACAAAAAAAAACTGTCGCTGGCGACCATTCGGACTGATGAAGGAAATAGATAGAGCCCGCCGCTCTCACTCGACACGCCAAGCCAAGCAGCAAAAAAATAAAACAAAACAAAACGAAATGCCAATACAATTACATGATTCTTATCCTTGTACCCGTATTCTCCGCCGGGTTTACACCGGTCAGGCCTGCCCCCTCACATACCTACAAACACGTGGGGGTCTCAAGAGCAAGAGTTGCGGCCCGCTATTAAGAAGAATTTAGTTAAGAAAATCAGGCTCAACTTTTCACGAGAAATAAGAAAAAAAGGGCTAAGAAACATAGCTGAGTCGTGGATCCTGTACTAAACTCAATATAATAATAATGCTCAACGGTGGTCATGAAATAAGAAACTGAGCCTCGACCCAATTTTGACGTTTCTTATCTCCGGGCCGCAACTGTACTCCATGCCGGGCCAGACCCGCACCAGGGGTTACAAAACGAAAACAGGCGAAGAAAAAACCTGTCGGGGGGAGCATTTTTCAACAAGCCCGCGCGGATAACAACGTCGTTTTGTACACCTGAAGTGTCTTCTGAGCACAATCGCCAACACCTCAGGCTTTGCCAAATACGGGGAACTAAGTCCAGCGCTGTCTCGCCGTGGATGTTGAGCATGGTCTCGTCCGCACCTGCCCTCAGTAAGAGATCCACCATCTCGACGACGTTACTTTCTTGGATTCCTTGGCCTCCTGCTGGTAATTGTATTGGTTTTACAATTGGGAAGTGTACGTGCGCAAACGCAGTATGCAAAGGCGTGAAGCCTTCATTGCATTGTGTGTTGACGTTTGCGTCATCGTTCACGAGGGCACGCATCGCGTCGACGTCAATATAGAGCATGTTGAGAGGGGTGACGCCATCGATGCTCCGAGCTTCGATATTGGCCCCGGCATTGACGAGCATATCGACCTCACTTTTCCCGCGAGCATGATGAAGGGGTGTCCCCTGCCTATCAGCAGCATCGAGATCCATACAGCCGATCATCCTGCGGGTGAGCCGGGTCTTGTTCGAATTGTCTCTCTCATTCATGCTGGCCCCAGCTTCCACGAGGACTTGTACCACATCACCGTGCCTTCTGTGTGCTGCACGGTGAAGCGGTGTTTGTCCCATTGAACCCTCTGCGCTGTAAGCTCCCTCCCGCAACAACAGCAGCGTGATTTCTACCCTGCCTTTTTCAGCAGCCGTGTGGAGAGGGGTGTCGTCGGCCTCATCCCGGCCATTGACCGATGCCCCCTGCTCCAAGAGAGAAGACACGAGCTGTTCGTCGCCAACTCTGATAGCCTCGTGCAGGCGAGCCGTAGCTACCAAATGCGCCGTGATCACAATTACTATGTTGGTGGTCGTCGGCCGTTTTTTACCGCCTTCTCATCGAAGTGGTCGAAGCTGTCATCAATCAAGCAGCTGCAACAGCCGGTCCACCGACGGCAGTACGGAGCCCGCCGAAGCCCGTGGCGTTGCTCGTGCCCTCGGTAGGCTAGCGCTCCCGGTTGCGGAGCGCGCAGTAGACCGCCGCCCTCGAGCTGCTGCCCTGCCGCCGCGGCGTGCGTTTGTCCCCTCCGAACGTGATCGTGTCGTTGCCGGTGAAGACATCTGACCGTATTGATATTTCGGGCGACGAAATTCAGCACGTGGCGGCGTTTCGTTGGGTTTTCGGGCGGCGAAAGCTTGGAAGGTGCGTACACTGCTCAACGGGGCATGGCTCGGAATCCGTGAGAGTGTGTGCAAGTCGGGTTTTAACACAAACCCACCTAAAAAGACTACGAATATTTCTGTTGAATCAGCAAGATTTCCCACCTCCCCGCTCTTGTACCTACATGCGAAGCAGTGACTCTTTCTCTCTCTCTGTGCGCCGTGTGTGATGTCTTGAGTGGTCTCTCTTACATGCATGCGTGTCAAGAGCACACAAACACCTAGGCCATGTACATCATTCACCTTGTCTGCGGTGTGTCCGTGGTGGGTGGTGGTGGTTGTGCGCGGTGTGTGTGGTGTATGTGGTGCGCGTGATGTGTGTTGTGTTATGGGGGAGAGGTGGTGGCTCTAAAAACACCGATGATGGAACACCGTTTCGCCGAAAAATGTTTCGTTTCGGCGCGCGATGCGGCGTAATATAGAGATATGGCAGGATGTAGACTTACCTAGCTCGGATGACCGGATGCAGATGTGTAGCAAAACAGAGATCGGTGCAAATAAGTGCCTCTTCGCGTGTTCCACTCGGTTGCTCTCATACATATGTGTAAAGTACGCGGAGAAACAATTTAGAAAATGGATGGATCTGAGACCAAATACTGTACCGACCCAGCTTACTCATCGCCGCCGCCTTTGCTGTACATTCGTCAGTGATTTTCAAGTAGCAATAGGCCACTTTGTGTTCCGCGGGAAGAGGCGCTGGCGCGTGTGGTTGCGACCTTGGCTATATCGGGCATGCTTTTGATACATCCTGTAACAACTGCGAGGAGCGCTCTGGTGATACTTTGAACAAGTCATCTGTGTTACACACTTCGATACGTTTCTGTTTGTTGGTGAACCTTCCTCCAAGTGCGGTACGGACGTTGCCATACATTCCAAATCCAAACGCGAGTGCACGGAACAAGCTCAGTCGTAGAGAGCAAATGCGTACTCTAGTCACATTTCCCTTGGCGACTCGTTTGTTCCATGCACTCGCGTAGCGTGAACTGTGAAAACTCGTCACCAACGGTACCGCCAACGCGGAGCGAACAGTAGGCCTGCGAATGTTCAGGCTTTGTTTCTGGCGGCATGTTGTCGGTCTGTGCAAGAACCTTTCGAAATGATTTTTATTTTTGCGTGCACGTGGTCCGCGTACCCGAGAGAAGCAGATGCAAAAAAAAGCGAGGTCAATCGGAGCATTTGGCGCTTGTCTCCTGGAAGTTCAAGCTTTTGGTGTTTGTTTCTTCCGTCAATACTGAAACAAACGACACCTCCTGCAAGAATGTTTCAAAATCCATTTTTTTTTGCGTGCACATGACGCGCGCAGCAAAATAAATCATGTACAGAAAAATTCGAGGTCAAACGGAGCATTTGGAGGCGCAGAACCCTCGTTTTTATAGGTTGCGCCGCGATTGGCCCGAACCGGAACATTTATACATTTATCTCGAACCTTTTCACAGTCTCGTTGGTGCTGATGTGCAAGACAGACATCACACGCACACGCGCGCCCGGAGCAGCGGAGCCAGTGGACGTCAACAGGAGGACCAAACAGCCTCCTCAGCATCCTTTGGGCGGCCCTAAGGTGTGTTCATCTGTCTCTGCGCGCGTAAACGTGCGTGTGGTTGTCTGGTGCAGGCTCGCAGGCCGCCGCGCGCATGCCAGACAAAAGACGGCGACCATACGAGCCCCTCGCACCACCACCTCGGGTAGAACCGATCGCTTTCCCTTCCCATGGCATAAACCAAGCTTCCTATGTGCTTTTAGTTTATTTTTGAATCGTCTGTGTTCATCGCCTTGCGGCTGCAACGTGTTTCACACGCCAGACCGCATCCCGCCCAATTTTTTTTTTTGCAGTTTTGGTGTTTTCCCACCCCGATTTTCGAAAAAATATAGTTTGGGGGGTAGGGGGTGATACTTCGAAAAAAACGACTTGAAAATAGACTACTGCTTGTTTAAGTGTACACGTATAGCTGTGTATCTCGGCACCAGAGCATCCGTTGACCCTAAAAAAAATATCCACGTGTGCGCCTCACCTAGCCGAACAATATATTCCGAGGATTTTATTTTCCGACAAGATCCTGATTTTTTCAAGCTAAAGTAACGCTTACAGCAGTAAGTCTACACGTATAGCTTTCTAAGTCGCCACCATTTTCATTTCTGAACTCGACATTTCGCATGCTTGAACCCGTGGCCCATGTTCACAAGTAGATTTTTTTTGTTGTTGAATTCCAAGCACATCTCGATTTTTAAGTATGTTTGAAGATCCACATTGGTCAGTCAAGACGTTATGCGGCTCCAAACCGTCCAGGATTTTTCTCGCCTCGAAACTTGGCACACGTGCGTGTCTGACCCGTCCTCACCCATCCCCGCAACATTAACGATCAAATTCGAAGTACATGCCGCTGTGTGGCGCCCGCTTGTGGCAAAAAACACACACGGGCCCCCCTGACCACTAACTCCCGCCCCCGCTCCCCAGAGACGGCCCAATAACTATGAAATGTGCCACGCTTGTTCTCCCTCCCCCCCTGCCCACCCCCTCACATTTTTTTCGAGCAAAATTGACACAGGTGCGACCGAGAGACGCGAGAGATGCCCGCCCACTGGACTGTAGTTAGTCAGCCAATCAGAAATTGTCCAACGTGTCGGACACTTTTTTTGGATGGATCGCAGCCAATCAGCAATCGTGCACGAACCGTACAGAGTCGTGTCATAGTATTTTCAAGTGTTTTGTACGGTTGGAGCATGATTCAAGTTTCCAGTAAACTTTTAGAGCTCCTTATACAGTTGGTATCTCACGGTTGGAGGGGAAAAGGAGTGGCGAAGATTCCTGCGGGGGAAATGATTGATGAAAGGGTCTGATTTCCCGACA